GGGACCCATTGTCCTGCTGATTTTTATTCTCATCCCCTTCTTTTTTTCCCAAATCGCAGGAATTATGAAATCCAATGCAATTATACAATGAGTGATTGGAAGTTTTATTCTACCAGGTACAAGCATGTGAGAAGTAAGGATTTTTGTGCATGACATCTTTTATTGTACCAGTGGATGGGTAAACAGTGGAATGCTGGTATGCCACATGTTGGCGCTGGGAGGTGTAGAGGGAAATTCACCGAGGACAAAGGAAGTTCTACTGGTCGGGGAAAACAAGGTTAGCATTCGCAACGTTTTCAGCTATATCTTACCACTTCCTAGAATTCAGAAGTTGATGAAATAAGAAATCTTAGGGGATAGAAATGGGGCACCCTAAATGCATTCTTTGCTAATGCCAGAGATGCTGTATTGCAGCCAGCCAGCCAGCAGGAGCCATCACCAATCCCTGGCTGGGCATTATTTTAAGTATTGATCAGTACTTGTAACAATCTTCCTGTGTGCACATGGTCACTAATTGAGCCACTGGTATCAATCAGATACATAATTGGTATTCTGTTATAGGATACTAGAGCCTTTTTTAAAGTATCTGTGTAAGTGCTATTGGCCTTTTGGTTTAATAAAGGGACTTTAACGGAATTATCACATTTTCTTGCGTACAACCTGACCCAGAAAATGATTCGCACCTTGTTTTTGAAAGCCAAATGAAGAAATAAATACCCTTCCTTGCACCTAAATAGCAGCAGCTAAGGAGCCAAGCCTTTTCATTGCTCTGCTCCCTGTGCAGCAGAAGCTGTTTGTACGGTATTACCCACATGTACTGCACACTCCAATCCCAGCAGCAGGCTTTGGGGAAAAGGTGCATATGTATGCAAGAAAATACAGTATGACCCAGTCAGTTGAATTCCAACAGACTTCCGTTGGAGGCAACTATGTGGAGGCAGGTTTTCTTGCGTTCAGATTGGGATGTGGTCAGTTCCTGGCCCACTTCAGTAATGAGTCCTAGAACCAAGCATACCCTTTGCCCTACTCCCCACGGTCTCATTCCAGTCGCAATCCAATTTACCTGGTTGCTGGGGTCCTTGGCCATGTGTTTTCTTATAATTTTTGATGCTTTATCAAACTCTTTCTTTTTAATGCAAATGATGATAGCCTGCAGAAGGAAAACATGAGTTTTTCTATTGGCGTTCGTTCAAGGACATCCCTCAAATTAGCTTCACAAGCATAATCCAAGCTAGGCATGACAGCCAGTCACTCACTAACCAAGCAACATGGAAATACACTCTTTGCATTAAATTCATGAACAAGCTGCTCACCCAGTCATGTCATATCACCCAACTACTCTGCTACTAAGTGGTTATGTTTTTAGGGACTGCAGTACCCAGTTATTCTGGGTACAATGCCATGCCATTGCTATCCTGTATTTTGCTGAACATCCCAGCAGTCTGAAAACCTATCTTTCCTTGTTAGGCCGCCTTGGCTTTTTTAATTTTAGAACAAACGGTCTTCTACAGAGCCACACCTTACATAGCACCTAGATATGACACCAAGCAGCTAATACCCTCACCCCTACCCCCAAGAACTCACAAGTGAAGGCAAGCCCTATGTAGAATTTGGTGGGGCATGGGGAACGTGCCAAAGGCACGTGGCTATTTTGAGGAGGCTTCACACACATCTTGTAGCCCCTGGTTTATCTGTTGAATATATGCAGCAAGCTTTATAAACACAAGACTCACATTTTAAGTATATCATATACCCAAAAACTTTTTCCCATACTACTGAAAAGTAGACATTGGCTTGTGCAGGGTGGGGGTGTCCAATTAAAAAACAAAGTTTTGCGAGGCATTCTACATTGCCAAAACACTCCAAAAGAAAGAAGGCAATAAAGAGGAATGATGAACCAGTTCCAATATATTGGGAAACGTTTTTAAATCTTCATGACAGAGAACTGGTAAAATGCGAGGAAACGGTCTATTTTTTCAGGGCATTAGATCCTCACTTGTTAATACTGGTATTTTCCTAGAGGTGTTCAGCAAGAGCAGGGACACAGGCAAAGTGAGAGAACAGACAATGGCCCTCAATGTAAGAGGAGCTGTTTTATATACTTTTTGGATTAAAGTATATAGAATGCTAAAATACTTCAATTTAAAAGGAGAACCTGGGCCTTACAGCTTCCTTCACTGTTTTCTTCACAGGTTCCATCTTTGGTTCAGGCACAGGGAATTCTTTCTTGATAAGCTCCAGTACACCCATCGCAGATTCAAGAGGAGTGAGTTCTGATTCTCTATCAAAGGTGCAATCTATAACACAAAGGAATAACTCATTCCCACTAATTTTATAACACCCAAGTACAAATCCTTCATAGGGTAGAAAAGCAAGCAAATTGGGATCTGTTCAGTTTGGCTGTATGTGCTGCAGTAACCAATATTGCAGAAAACAAAGAACAGCAGACAAAGATCAGGAACAGACAGTTTAATCGTCAGAAAGGCTTGACAGGTGCACAAGCTCCTCAGAAACATGAATTCTGGAGAGTTTGAAAAAGGTTGGAAAAACAAAGACAGCATGGTAAACATAAAGCTGTTAACTTCACTCGAAATTGCAGACATCTCATGGAGAAAACCAGGAATGAATGGAGCAAGCAAATAAATATGCTAGCAGAATGGTGCAGGGTTGTTGGTTGTATCCGTGTTGGTCTAAGGACATAGACAGGCAAGGTTCTTTGGGTAGATGTGGTATCTTGTATTAGACCAACTGAGTAGTTGGAACAAAGTTTTGTCACACCTTTAGCTTCTTTCACTCCTTGGAGATCTCAGAACTACAACAGTCTCCCCCTATGCCTGAAGAAGGGTACTTGTTCCCCAAAAGCTTTCAAAGAACTTTGTTCCAGCTACTCAATTGGTCTAATAAAAGATGTCAAATCAACCCAAAAAGCCTTGCCTAGCAGAATGGTGCAAGAGTGATGTACCTGTGATGGTCTAGAAATTGGGTGAGAAACAAGGATTTTTTAGGATGACATCTTTTATTGAACCAACTACACAGTTGGGGTAAAGTTAGATAAGCTTTCCAATGCAAGACATTCTTTGGTAGGTCTCTGATCGCAGGAAGCTGGGTACAGCAAAATGAAACACGGCAGAGAGCAGGAGTTGAGAGAGACTCTCAAGGATAGCAGACACACAGTTAGCAGAAGAAAAGAGGATTACTGGAAGATCAAGGCCCATCAAAAGGAAGGAGGCACATTTCCACCTTTCTTGCGTGGAAAGAATTCAGGAGTTAAATAAAATATAAATGGGCCATAAACACGATAACAATGTTTAGTTCACCTTTTAAAAGTGTTAGATTTCCCTGGAGCACAAAAATAGTGTGGTCAGAGAGGGAGCAGTTGTTCTGACTAATGTGCTCCTAATGGTGCGTGTATATCTCTGCCCTATATGTTTTTTTCTATGACAGGTCATTATGGTGCATAGTTCCTGTTTAGTTTCAGCCACGTAGCTGCCACGAGGGCAACTTGGTACATCGGATCAGATAAATCACATTTTGGGAACGGTATGAGTAGGAACCATGGATTCTGATAGTTTATTTATGGGGGAGGGAGAGGAGCAGTGGTTCCCAATCCGTGGTAGGGGTACCACCAGTGGTACGCAGACAACCTGTCAGTGGTACGTGTTAATAGATTTATTATAATTGCTTTATATAACAGAAATTTGCTGGTGCTACTTAAGGTTGAACTGAAAAATTTGCTGGTAGTACTTCAGGTTGTATTGTTTTAAATTGGTGGTGCCAATCTGTCAGAGTTTGGGAACCGCTGGGGAGGAGGATGTTGATAGTGGCCACAGAGATGTGCTGACAAGTTAAGCATTTCTTCCGAAGGCAAGGTTGTGTTTCACTTGATGCCTGTTGGGCAGTGAAGTTTGCTTCTGACGAGTTGCATAGTTTACATTTACAAGGAACTACAACGTTAATTTTTTTTCCAAAACATCAAAGGAAGATCAAACCTGATCTTTATATTTTGCTCATATAAAACTTCATCCAACACCCATAAAACTTGCTGCTTTACTTACTTTTTAATATATGTTAAAAGATTTCTTTTAAACCCATTCAACTTGAGGTAGCTCCACACAACCATTGTATTCATTTTTTTTTTTTTTTATCGCCAGCCAAAAAAGCAGAGGATGAAAACTGCCCTATAAGCTGCATATGGAAAAAAGCAGAAATAACCATGTCCCAGGGGACAAAAAAAATAAAGGTAGAAAAGGCTGCATCGGGGGTCACAAATCAGATTTATCTTTAAAAGAAAGATTTCCCCCCCCCAGGTGTAATTTATTTGGAACGCAGGGGAATAATGTTTTTTAAAGACTGATGGTTACCCCCCTTTTTTTTTATCCCTTTGGGCAACACCCCCCAGCGGAAACGTTCCTGACTCTAAAAAACCCTGCAGCTGAAAGAAGTGCAAACTGTTATCCTATTTTCCGGTCTATTCCCTTTGCACGCTGCATGGCGCCTCGCAGGTCTATGCTGTTTCAGGGCCGTCTTACGTAGAGTTTGGATGACGGCTGTACGGGACGGTGTGGATGGGGACGATGCTGCCGCGGGCAGGGGGTGGGACTGGACGCGGCCCCTGCAGCTCCCTTCCCGCCCCACTGCTCTGCGACCAGTTGCTGCTCAGCTGCCCTTGGTGGCCCATGCCCTGCCTCCAGATCCATGCACCCCCTTGGCCGAAAGAGACCTTTATCAGCAGAAAAACCCAAGTTTTTTGAGGGTTTCACAGAAAATCCGCAGACCTTCACCCCCCTCCACCTTAATTCCGATTCAAAAAAGATCCAAGCAGACCGGCCCGTTTCCACCAGAGCATCGGTGCGGAGGGGGGAGGGGAGCCCGAGTCTTCCTACCTAAATTCTCGCCCTCCTCGATCCGGGACAGGAGCTGCATGATCCGGAGCAGGCGGGAGACGGCCGGCTCCTGGGCGAGGGGCCGCACCAGCAGAGCTGAGGGGGGAACGGGCAGAAAGCTCGGGTCTGGGGTCACTGCAAGCCTTCCCGCTGCAGCCGAGGGGTCCCGTGCCCCCCTCCCC